AATGTTATAATTTTTTTATTTGCAGGGAGTGACTACCTTATTGTTCAAAGAGCTAGCATCTGCCGAGCCAACAATCAAAATGAATGCTACCTATTATGTTCGAACATTGTGCTGGAGAGGTGATTTAGATCCGGAGTATCCTTTAATTTTTCTTGCCAGCTTTTTCATTGCTTTAGACTCTTATATAATTAGCCTATTAAAAAATGATTTAACTATCAAAAAGTTGCGCATACAAATATTGATTTAGCCTTGTCTGTTTGATAAAGCTTTAGCTTAGCCTACATATCAAAGTCCTATTTAAACAGTCAATTGTTGTCCCAACTGTTGGTGTTTGAGTGTTTATAAGTTGGAGATATTGTTTGGCATTTCTTTAATATGAGTCTAGATACTATCCCAAGATATTGTATCACCTTCTTCCCTTGCTGTCTGAGCAAAATGATTCAGTAAAGGCAATTGCAGTTGCTGTAGGAGCAGAGGTAATATGGCGGTACTACTTTGATTCCATTCCATTAAAACAGGTAACTTTCAATTTGTTTTATAAGCTACCCCAAATTTCATTTAAATCAACATTTTCTTAGAAACTAAATAAAAAAGTAAATACATTGTATTTTCCATGACTTGTTTGGAAATTTTATTTCTGTTAACTTCTATCTAAACTTCCCTTTAATTTGATTCATTTAATGAGTTTACTTTTCTAAATTGTTTCAGTTCTTGAAAAAAAAAAAAGGACCATGCGTAGAGTCTTCTTTTATCTATTGATGTATTCGTAATCTGTATCACCACTGATGTACTAGCTAGGCTGTAACTGCTTCTTTTGAGAATGTCCAAATTGCTTCCATTGCTTATTGCTTTATCCAAATGGTTTTATTCTCCTACAATCCTAGTCTAACTCATTGACTTTGGGAAAATGTAATTTAGATGCTCAACGCACTTCCTCAATTGTTGGATATATTTTCTCAAGTTTTACTTTCTCCTATTGAGTCCGGAGAAACGAAAGACATTGTACTCAAAGCATTGCGTCGGCTGAATCGCTCCCTCCCTCGGGATGAAATTGAAACGCTTTTGGACAATCTCCCTACCATTAAGAAAAATGAATTGATGGATCCAATGATCCCTGTTTTTGCTGACTAGTTTTTTTTTTTTTTTACGTTTTCTTTTTTTTTTTAACCTTTCTTGCTTTCTGGACTTATGCTTGTAGCTTTGGTGGACTTGTATGAAATTGCATCTTTCAGGTCAAAAAAGAAAAGAAGAAATCATGCACCATATTTTGGTGGCTACTATTTGAATCTTATATTGTGGTTTGGGTTTGACTAAATAGAACGATTTGATATTAATTAAATACCAACCCACAACAACAGAAGTATTTGAAAATATATAAGTGATTATCATACTTTAAAGCATGAAGTTGTTTTGTCATCATTTAAATATTTTAATATTAAAGTATATTTATGCTCATCAAATTAGTTCAAAAATACCATGTTTTGATTAAGTTGGTTACTTCAAACAAGAAGTTATTTTATTTATTTATTTTTTGCCATAATATAAACAAGAAGTTCATTAACGTAATTTGAACTATCTTGAGTCTCTAACTGATTTTTGATCAAATAATTGGGAGAAAGATTACAATTTCAGCTTGAACAATACTGTTAATTGATTATTGTAAGATAGATGATATTTTTTTTTAAGAGTAATATATCAATATATAATAACCAAATATCTAAGGAAACAATAGAAAAGACAAGAACATAATGATGCTAGCCGCGCCTTGACGACATTTCTATTGGTGGCATTTTTTGGAAACAACATCGCATAACTATCACCAGTGCAAATTTTTTAAACAAATAAGTAATCTATTTTTATTTTCGCCAGCACCCAACAAGTAATTAATATACTTCTGAGCATAATAATATAAAAATATTTTCCAGAATATTATAACAGAAATTGAGGAATTTAATACATTTATATATTTAATATGAGTATAATATTTTTTGAACAATTAAAATCTATTATACTTCTTTTTTTTCAGAAAAATCTATTTTACTTCAATTGTTTGAATATTTGTATATATGAGTGTTTAAAATATACAAGAGTAGTGTGAGTAGAATATTCATACGTGACATGTTTATGCAAATATGGCATTTCAGCGAATATTTAATCAATAATTATAAGCAATAAAATAAAAGTTCAATTTAAAGATCTTTGTCTTCAACTATTTCTTGATCATTAGAATTAAAAGATACTCCCTCCATTCAAAAAAAAAAAATAAAAGATATTTTTAACCAAATCTTACCTTTAATAAAGTAGTTACTTGTTTTTACATTAATCCTATCTTTCCTTATTACTCCAATTTAATAGGGTACTTTACTCTAAAAAGATACAAAGTGATATATTTAATAGTGGCACTTTTTTTTTTAAAAAAAAAGTAATAATTATACCTTAAAAGATTAAAAATATCTTACATATTTTAACATCCAACTCCTCAAAAAATACCTTATATTTTTGAAAGGAGAAAGTATATCTTTGTTAATATTTCATATGAATATTAATAATAAAGTAATAGTGATAAATCACTATAAAAAATTATTAAAATAGAGATAGAAATTAGAGACGGCCTAATTATCATCTCTAATAAAAAAAAATAGAGACTACTTATATTTTTAGAGACAGATTTAATTTAAAAAATATTTTAAAATTTAGAGATAGATTTATAGATGACTTATATATGTTTCTAAAAAAAATATCGCAAAATCCGTCTTGACTTTTGTCATTAGTCATTAAAAAAATAATTTAAAAAAATATTAAAGACAAGTCTAGAGATGAATAAATTTCATCTCTAATATTAATTTTACATTTGTAAAAAAATTTAGAGATTGAATTTGAGACATATTTTTTTATGAATTTAGCAACAAAAGCTTAACCATCTCTAATTCCCTCTCTATATATTTTTTAAAATTTTATTTTTACTAATTTAGAGATGGAATTAGAGATATCTGAAATAAATATATTAAAGATAAAATTATTATCTTTTCTTAACATGTCTCTAATTCAATGTAGAGACAGATTTAAAAACAGAGCCATTTTTTAAATTTTTTTAATTTTTGGATTAGCAATTGTTTTAAAACATGTTTGAAATATATTAAGATGCAACTTAATTTTAAAAGATGTAGAAAAACTTTTATCATTGTTTAGTGAGCTTCCCATTCAATGTGAACAACAAAAATTTAACATTTTTGTCCAAAAACATTTATCTTTAAAATTTATAGTATTTGAAAATGTTTTGCATGTTATTTAAATCTTTCCCTTCTTCCTTTTGTCTTTCTCCAAGTTTAACTATTCTCATTTTTTAAATTCACATTTAGTATTCATTAATTTATTTTATAACCATAATTAATTAATTTTTTGTCTCTTTTGTGTTATTCATATTTTCCTTCAATACTTTTATAATATTTAACAATCTTTTTCCAAATAACAAAATTGTGTTAAAAGAAGTTACTAACAATATTTTATAACAACACATTAAGATAAGAAAATTAAATTCAAAACTCCAAAAATTTATGGAATTGAATATTTCTATATATAACATATTTATAAGATTTTAAATTTTAAATTTGTTCCATATTAAATAATTTTGATAAAAAATAATTTTTTATAAAATAATTTTAAATACAAAAATTTATATAAATGTATTTAAATTAAATATTCCATTTAAATATTTTATATTTTAAAATTTATTAGTACTTATTAAAAATTAAAAATTGTTTAAAATGACCATTAAAAAAATTTATATGGTCAAAATTATTTTTTTATTGAAATAATTTTAAAAAATAATTGAAAAATTATAGATAAAATTTATGTGTAGGAAAAGAATGGAAAAGATTTAACCATTTTGGGAGAAGATAAAAATTTAATCATTTATTTATTAATTTTTGAGAATAATATGGAGAAGATAAAAGTAAAAGATATTTATATAAACTAAAATAATACAAATTTTAAAATAAATTATATATTTAATTATTTTCATTTTAAAAATAATATTTTTATATTAAAAATTGTTTGGTTTTAAGTTCATTTTCCCAAAAAATTAATATTTTGTTAAAAATATAATATAAATAGTCATACAAATAGTTTTGTCATATTAATAATTGAAAATATAATATATATATATATATATATCTTTTCAATAATATATTATTTTATATATTTGTATTTAGTTAAGTAACATATATTTAATTTCACATAAAATAATTGCAAGTACATTTTAGATCAATTGCAAAAAAATGAGGCTTAAGGCTTGGATGGTGGGAAGTCAAAGGATCAAATATTAGCCTTCGCATTTTTTGTAACAAATATGTGATGTTGCATATGGTGGTGGTTGACATGGCATGAGCTGACAACATGATGCGTGACATGGCATTGGTTGACACATATGGGTAGTTGAGTTGGCATGTCTAGATGCACACGTGGCTGGTGAGGTATCAAGTAATGTAGCATTGGCTGATTCATACATGGTGGATGACATAGCACTGACATGGCAATGGAGACTTAAGGAATTTAGTTTTCATTTTTTTAGAGACAAATTTAAAGACTATTTTATTTTGTCCCTATCATTTTATATAATTTTTAGAGTATTTTATAGCAATGAATTTTTCATGAAAATTAGAGACGGTATTTTTTATTCAAAGATACAATAAATTTGTCTCTAATCAGTAACGGCTTAAAAAATCTATCTCCAATTATTTAGAGATGCCCCTTTTTAAGACACCTAGATATTCATCTCTAAATATGTCTCCACTTGTTTGGAGATAGATTTTTCATTAGTTGGAGATAAATTATTGGGTGTCTCTAAACAATATTTTTTTAGTGAATATTATTAAAAATATAAATAACATTATCACTAACCCATGACAACCTTCAATAATGTCTAAGAAATATAGAGTAATATGTTAGAGTTACAAAAGACTTGGTATGAACCAAATTGGATATGGCACCTCAGTGAAACTTTAACTTTCAAATGTATAGTAATCAGTCATCTTATCAATCCTACAATGCCTCCCAATTCTCAAGCCTTCCCATTTGTCTATGATACCCTTAACACATGGAAAACGATAGGCAAAATAGATACAATTCCCCTTGATAAACTCTTTAGGGCACTGAAGAGCATCATTTGACACTACAAAACACTTCCAAAACCCATTGAACAATGTACAATTTCCCAAGTTCTTAACTTCTATCCATCTAGGTTCTTTACTCATATCCAACTTAAACACTCGACTATCTACAGTCTTGGGTGGATTGGTATACTCCTTTCTTGCTGTATCATTAAGCATTCCCTTCAACCTAAAGATTGAGTTGCAAACCAAATAAATAAGGAATAACTCTCCTGATGAAGAATCAACCGCCAAAGTACTAAGAATGTCACCATGAGCTTCCCAAGAATTAATAATGCAACCATCACCATCATAAAGGAAGTCAAGAGGACTCGTTTTCTGTCTTATTATAGCAAATCCTACTTCAAGAAGCCTTGCTAATATTCTAGGTTTTACGGGTTCTTTTTGCAAATCATAAAAAACTATAGAATTTAATACTGAGTGGGTCAAAGCATACAATTTTCCGTCAATAATCTCTACATGCAAGAATGCCAATGCTGTAGACACATCTTCTTCAATGATAGTCCATGACTCATTAGTAATCCAACTAAATGCAAACACATAGTGACGATAAAAGAGACACACCACAACACAGTTTGGGTCATTGGGTTCTGTTGATGCCACAATACTCTCAATTTTACTTTTTACTTTCAACCTTGATGACATATAGACCTTAGCATTTGTTATGGGGTTGAAGAAGAAGATTCGTGCATCAGTTTCTTGAGCATTATCAAAAGAATTGTTGATAGATTCAACCATGATCATCCAACCTTCTATCGTGCCATAGCAATGATGGAAGAATTCGTGTGGAAACCTTGTGGAGATGAAGACTCTTCCTCTGGGCAAGTCGAAGATGGGAAGGTTTTCCATGTCAATTGTTTGAAGAAAAAGAAGTGACAGATCAGGTGATGGAAGACAATGTTTGTTAGCAATGCATTTAATAATTGTGGATCTCCAACTAGAGCATACATATAGGGTTTGAAGGTAATCAATGACCCCTAAGTGTTTTAGAATGAGACCCAAAACATCATCTCCGACTTGTGACCATTTGTTGCAAATGGCTCCTCCTTCTTCAACGTTCATTTCTCTTTTCTCATCACCATCACCATCATCATCTTCATCTAGAATTTTCAACCTTTTGTTGTTGCTACTTCCTTCTTCTTTAACGTTCTTTACTCTATCATCATCATCTTCAATATGTGCATTTTCGTTATTGTTGCTTCCATCTACGTTATTGTTCATTACTTTTCTCTCATCATCATCATATGCAATTTGCACCTTTCTGTTGCTGCTACTTCCTTTTATTGCTCTTCCCTCATCACCACCACCTGCATTACGTTCCTTTTTGTCGTTGTTGCTTTGTCCTTCTTCTTCTTTGCTATTCATTATACTTTAATATGACAATTACTTAGAAAAATACGGAAAAAACAACCGAGTATATATAATTAATGGTTTTGTTCATGTGAGAAAATCATTTTACGCACATGTGAGCAAGGATTTAAACTAACCAATGAGTCCTTCCTAGAAGTAAAGCATAGATAATTTCATTCCTTGTGAGTTGGGCAAATAAACCAAATTATGTTTGTAATCATATCGTTCAAATGAAAGAAGCTAATTTAATTTTCATATCATAAATGCTTCGAGAGAGATCTTGGGTAAAGAAGGTAAATAAATATAATTACCAAGTTAGGAGATGTTCTATGACTGGCCACATACACTCGATCCATGGTAGTTTCTTGCCACTACTTTCTTCTTGTGTGCTGTTCATTATGCTAGAAAAACAAGATATAAAACATAAAAAACAATATATTACAACTAAGGTTTGAGTTACATAAAAAAATCAAAAGTTTTTGAACATGATGTGCGGGGTGGATTTAAATTAACAATTTATTCTCTCTAAATTGTGATCACTTTCATGACTAAACATATTTTAGTGGTATCAAGAAGCTTATCAAATTAGAATATACAATACTTTCTTTGATCCTCAATATAAGACATCTCATAAAAACTTTATGTAATCTTTACTACAAAATATCTTATAAAACTTGATGGAAATAATAAAGAATCATTTCTAAAAATGCCCATATAGCAATTGGTTCATACTTCATTTGGGTTGGTTGTTTGAATTTGACTTCAAGATTTAAAGATGAAGTTAATAATTTTAATTAACCATTTTTTTAAAAAAATCAAAACTCCTGACTAATTATAAACAATTTTTATTAATCCACGTAATTTAATTAAAAGCATATTCTAAATAGGACCCGGAATGTATTTTATGCTGGGGTCGTTTCTGAACATATAAAATTCATTTGTTTAAGAACCAAAAATCAAAGAAAATAAAGATGGCACAAAGATGCTTTGAAGAACAAAGAAAAGGTGATCGTAGGGGAGAAAGAACTAAGAACAGGCCCTGTGAGAAGCAGAGGCGCCAATGGATTCCACTAGATGTCAATTTTCGTTATATGAAGCAGAGATAAATGAAGACAGTTGAAAAAAAAAAAAAAAAACCTACAGATCTAATGAAACTGCATATAAACGCAAAGTTTAGCACAGATCAGAGATGGTTTGATGGAGAGAATTGAAAGTCGCAAGAGAGGAAGGCAAAAACAGATCATACCTTCTGCTTCTGGGTTGTCTCTCTGCCTTTGGATCTGCGCTTTCCTCTCCCCTTCCGTCTCTCTCACTCTCTGGTCATCCCTCTCTCTCTCTCACCCAAAATATCTTCAAGTCTTTCCAAAATCTTATTATTTATTTCTACATATCACTCTTCCTTTGCTTTTTATTCAGCCAGGCAGAGCTATTTGAATTGAAAAAATAATAAAAGAATAAAAGATAACCAGATTTCGCAAAATCATAACAGCATAATTCTATATATATTCTAATTTAAACTTATTTGTTTCCGTTTTCAAAATTATCATTTATTTTTTTTTAAGTCATAAAAACACATATGTCACATAATTTGTTTGTATTTTTTATTTTTAAATAATACGAAGATAGTTTTCTTATATTTTGATACAAAATTTATTAAAAAAATATTTGGTATGAAATGACGGGACAGGGTTTGTTTCGTACCGCACGTTCCGTGGAGGAAGGGAAAGGTGGGAGATCCCAGTACTGATGGGACTTGGGAGGGCAAATTATTGTTAAAAACCCAAAAAAATATTTATTAAAAATGATCTTAAGAATAATAATGATCGAGAATGACTAAATATTAAAATCTTTTATATTTTCTCTAACCACAATTGAAATTGAATTTGACAAACACAATAGTAAATAAATATATAATACTGGAAATCAAGGCAAATGCAAAATTTAATGTGTCTTAAAAATTCGCAAGTTTGAAAAAAAAAGGAGTTAAATATTATTAATATTTGAAAAAATTAATTTACATGTTCTGTCCTCATAGCTTATTCAACTTTAAATTATTAATTCTTGTAAGGTGAAGAGTTCTTTTGTTTTAATTTATTTTATAAAACAATCACTTTTTTTAAATATCTATTTCATGAGTGTTTCGAATGTTTGTTTAAGAACCCATTTATTTCAGTTTATTTTATAAAAAAACTACTTACTTTTTTTAAAAAAATCTATTTTATGAGTATTAATTATATTTATTTAAATTATTGAAAATAATTAGAATCCGACAAAAGTAGATTCCTAATTATTTTTAGAAAAATACTTTAAATAGCTCCTAAAAATCATTTGATGCATTAAATGAAAAATAATGTTTTAAAAAAGTAGGATAGGTGAGTATATTATAAAATTTTAAAATAGTTAAATAATAAATCATTTTGAAAAAATAAACATCTCGCCTCGAAAGTAGAGAATGATTGGCACGGGTATAAACCACTTCACACATTTTCATAAGCCTCAAAATGAAAATTCATTCCATTTTTAGAAAAAAAATTAATTAGATTATATGAAAATTCTAATAATTTCGATACTAATTGTCATAACAAAGTTTCAACATTTTTGTAAAAATTTTAGCAGAACCTTCCCTATAAATAGGATCTCCCAAAAGTTTTACAATACAAAAATTTTACAGAATAAAATATCAGTTAAAAGTTTAGCTCCTTCCAGCCAACAACAATATATAAAATAAAATAAAATCCTAACAACAATCTATGTTGAGTAACTAATCTTTTTTCTAAATCAAAATACATAAAACTTAAATATTTACATCAAAAAGTAATAGTACCAAACAAAATTTTCACCTAATATAACTATATTGCCCTTCAGAGGTTGGTAGTAGAATTAGCATCAGCTAATAAATCTGAGACCAAAATAAATTTTTTTAGTGAATAGCATTCCCAAAGTAAAATTTAAAAGAATTAAAATAATAAACTTAAATAATAGTGTAAACTAATTGAAAAGATGATAATTCATCATAATAAACTTATAAGTTTGTAAATCACATGTGTATTGTTTTAGCCTTCTAATAATAATTTATTTAGAATAAAATGTTATCAAACCCATATTCTATAACTTAAACATCTTGGGAGAGATAATCTACCATCAGCTAAACCTATTTCTTGTATTACAAAAAGGAAAAGAAAATATTCCATGTTATTTTACACATTTATTAAACAGAGAAGCACAGAAAAATAAATGAAATCATTCTTCATAATTAAATTTTGACCTCTAATTAAAATTTTTTATAAGGTAGCTTGTTTATAATTTTATGCATCATATTTTATAATTTTTTAATTAATTAACAATTAAAATTAATTTTTATTAATATTATACCTTAAAAAAATTACTCACATTTTATTTATTATCTGATATTTTATTCTAGCAAGAAATTATTATTATTAGCAATGGCAATAGTAATTATGGGATAGGCTGACCGAAGTCAAAGATATTAGCACAGGAAGCAATTAATTAGGATTAGATCATGCACATTCACATCAGATGGCTATAGGTTACTAGTATTGCTCATTAGAGAGCTACGAATGCGAGTTAGTGTGCATAGTCTAAATAGGACCGAAAGAAGGTAATGTCATAACTATTGCCTGAAAGGCTAGATCTGTATGAGCTTTATTACAACATTCCTTATTCGTCTTTGAGCCCACATCTAGCAATTACACCCCCATCACATCACATCACGTCTTTGAGTTATTTTGACAGTGACATTACACGAACTATTACTTAAATAAAATTAAAAAGTATTATTTTTAAAATAAAAAATCAAAAAATATTTAATAATTAAGGTATTTAAATTAATCCAAATAAATATAAAAACCTGACATATTTAAATTAGACTTAACTGTAAGTTTTTTCTTATAGATTCAAGTATTTTAAGTTTGATATAAATAAATTCAGCTCACAGAAATTAGTCTTATTTTAATTTTTTTTATAAAAATTTCAAATTAATTTTAATTAAAATTATTACACTTACTTTTAAATTTTACAGTCAAACATAATACCCAAATAAATTAATTGAATATGTGGGTATTTTGAAAAATAACTCATCATTTTTATCAAGTTTTATAAGGTACTTTATATTAAAAAGTAAACAAATTTCTAAAAAGTGTCTTTTATTAAAGGTTGGAGGATGTATAATATTTTATATCATTTTTAAATATATAATATTATATACATTATAAGGTCCAATGCTTATCTAAGGGAAAATGACAATTAGGACTTTCTAAGAATATTAATTTCAAGTATAGACTGTCAAATTTTAAAATTTCAGTTAAGGACCATGGTCCTTAATTGTGATAAAAAAAATTTAATTTGTGAGGTGTGATTCACCAACACAACTTGAGAATTCACTAATCCAACTTGAGAAAATTACTAAAGTATATTGTGAAGACATGAAACCTCACTTAGAAATGGAATGTTTAACAAAAATCACCACTTGTGAATTCACTAACTAGACTTAAAAAATTTTCTAACGTATATTATAAAAAATAAAACCCTACTTGAGAATCATTAATAAAAATTGACTTGTCCAAATTGGTATTTTTTATTAAACAATCAATTTCCAAGTAGAGTTTCATGTTTTCACAATATACGTTAGAAATTTTTTCAAGTCGAGTTAGTGAATTCTCAAGTGACACTTTTTGTTAAACAATTGATTTCTAAGTAGGGTTTCATATTTTCACAATATACGTTACAAATTTTTTCAAGTTGGGTTAGTGAATTTTCAAGTGGTAATAATGAATTCCACCTCATAAACTACATTTTTATCACAATTAAGAACCATTTCAAAATTTTATGTTCTGTAATTAGGATTAATGTTTTTAGAAGGTTCTTAATTGTCATTCTCCCTATTTTTAATATACACTTTTGAAAAAATTAATCATTTAATCTTATAATTTTGGCTCAATTATATCTCAATTCTTAAACTTTGGTTAGTTATAACTCACTCCTTATTATTTTAACTCGATTATAACTCAATCTCTAAACTTTTTTTCTTGCAATTTAGCCATTATAATTTCAATCACGTAAATATTGGTACCCATATTTTAAAAAATAAAATTATAAAGATTAAAATATATTGAACATTTAATATTTATAATATTAGTAATAAAATTATAAAGATTAAAATTATATTAAAATTTATTCTTAATATTTTAAATTATTAAGCCCTTTTAATCTTCATAAATATTAAAGGTTCAAAATATTTTTAATTTTTATAATTTTATTTTTTAAAATATAGGGATTAATATTTAAGTTGTTAAAATTATAAAAATTAAACTGTAAGAGGAAATTAAAAGTTTAAAAATTGAGTTATAACCAAATTAAAATTATAATGACGGAGTTATAATGAGTTAAAGTTTAAAAATTGAGTTATAATTAAATTAAAATTATAAAAATTAAATAATTAATTTTTCCTTCACTTTTTTATTTTTCATTTGTCTGAACACGGTGCATTACACTAGCTATTAGCCTATTACTGAGGGATAGAGCCTCTCAATGGAATTCATGGAAAGAGTTAAAGGAAGAAAACTTGTTCTTTTTTCTTAAAAAAAGCAGGCCTATTTATCGTAATTCATGTATTATTCAGCAAAATGCTTGTGAAGGTTAAAGACTGAAGGAAAGAAATATAGTGTTTGAAAACCTTGTTTCCTTTAGATTAAAAAAAGAAAAAAAAAACTTGTTTCCTTCATTCTTTTCTATTTTGTTTGTAACCACACCTAGATAGTCCTTGAATTTGCAAGCTAATTAAGCTTAGTTTGTAGTTATATAGAGGTGATCTTGGACTAAAATTTTATATTCATGTTTCCCTATGTGTGCCAGTATTTGATGTAAAAAATTAAATTCTGATGATTTTTAAGGACTCCATGCATGATCAAATACGTTGGATTTTAGAACATGTCAGAAAATTAAAGCTTTTTCTCTGCTAGCTTATTGTAGCGAATTTCATATATTTTTAGCCCTAAAAACCTGCACAACTTTTTTTAATTTTTAAAAAATTTAAAATTTCTAATTATACTTATAGACATATATGAAAAAGTACCTTAATTAAATATCTAAAAGATAATCATAAGCTCTAAAGTACAATTAAAATAAAGTCCCTAGAATATAATTTAAACCATACAAGTCCACATTGTTGATTATCTAAATGTAAATATTTTTAATCCTTATTATCATCAATCATTATTAAAAAAAAAACGTTAGACCCTTTAGAAGATGGTCTGCTTGGAGGAAGTGATGCTATTTCATCAATCTCGCAGACATCTTCGTCATCATCTAGAATAAATATATTGCAAATTGTGCTATTCT